CCCCAGCCCCTTATTAAGGATTTTTGCATCTATATTCCTTAGGGAGATTGGCCTGTAATTTTTCTTTTTGCTTGGATCCTTCTCTGGTTTGGTATCACGGTAATGCTTGCTTCCAGGAATGAATTTGGGAGTACTGCTTCCCTTTCGTTTCATTAAAGAGTTTGAGAAGTAGTGGCATTAGGTCTTCTCTAAATTTCTTGTAGAATTCAGCAGTGAATCCATCAGGGCCTGGCCTTTTCTTTGTTGGTAGGCTTTTAGTTATGTCTTCAATTTCATTAGCTGACATTGTTTTACTTAGAATTTTATATCTTCTTTTTTTGGTACTGGGGATTGAACTTGGGTCCTTGGGCTTGTGAGACGGGAGGCAGAACCACTGAGCTAAATCCCTGGCCCAGAATTTTATATCTTCTTGATTTAGCTTTGCTAATTAATACATGGGAAGAGAGAAAAGGAAGAAATAAAAACAAGAACAGAGCAGAACAACAACAAAAAACTAGAACCGATGTTCAAACAATCAAGAAAAAACAAAACAAAACAAACCAGGTGTGGTGGCACACACCTGTAATCCCAGGATCAAGAGGCTGAGGCAGGAGGATCTGTGAGTTTGAGGCCAGCCTGGGCTACATAGTGAGTTCAAGGGCAGCTTGAACTACATAGGAAGACCCTGTCTCAAAACAAACAAACAAACAAACCCAAAACAAAAGAACCAGAAAGAAGGGGAAAAAAGAAAAGGAAAAAGAAAGAAAAAGAAAAAACTTCCAATTCAAGATATGTCTCTGCTGTCACTAGAAGGCAAAACAGGCAAGGAGTCCAGAGGCAAATTGATTAATCCCAGCAAGACAGCTGGAGCTTCACAGTGGAGTAGTAGATAATCCCAGCCAGCCTGTCCCTCTAGTTCCACTGAAGTTCAGGCCAGTTTCTGGCTATGAGGCTTGAACCAGATTCCTTGAGCCTATAATAGTCCATGTGCCTCCCCCCAGCTTGAACTCCACTCTCTGGCCTCCTGCTGACTTGAACTCAGCACCCACACTGAGACAGTGGGAGCCACTAGATGGAGTAGGCCAGTAGCTGTTCTTTGTTCAGAGCTCAGTTGGGCCCTCTACCAGCCAATCATTCTCTCCTGGGTGACATCTGAACCCAGATAACTCACCAGGCACTGTAGTCCACTGTGTCCACTGCTCCATTCCACTGGCATATTTCTCCGTGGAGGCCTCTGGGGTCACCAGCAGTCACCATGTTCCTGCAGGTTCAGCCCACTGTTCTCCCCCTGGAGGAGAGTCCTGGCTTTTAGGGAGAGTGCTGCTTGTTATCTCCCTCCTCTTTGCTGAAGTCTCTCTCTTTCCCCTCCCCATGGACTTCAGTTATTGCTTCAGATCCTTCCTGGGACCCAGGGACCCATTTCCCTCCTTCTCCTCGAGCTGCTTTATTCCAGTCAGGACACCAAATCTTGGAGATGCTCTTTCTCTGCTGCTCACCACTCTGCCATCTTCCCAGAAGTCCAGTTTGTAGAGGTTTCAGTCCATAGTTGGCTGGCTCCAAGGCAAAGTGGCATAGAAGAAGGTCATTGCAGAGGAGAAACAGTCCCTGGCAAAGCAGGAAGCAGCAAGCAACAACCAGCATCTGAAGCAGCAGCAAAACAGCAGAAGACCATGACAGAATTATTTATTTATTTGTTTGTTTGTTTGTTTGTTTATTTGAGACCAGGTCTCGCTATGTAGTGCACACTAGCCTTGAACTCACTATGTAGCCCAGGCTGGCCTCAAACTCACTGTGATCTTCCTGCCTGGCCTGGCAGCTTATTCCATTTTCTTTTTCTGCTAAGGATTGAGTCTAGGGCCATGTGTATGTCAAGCATATGCTCTACCACTGTGCTACATCCCCAGCTCACAGCTTATTCCTTCCATCCTCCTCTCTTCTCTCTCCCCTTCCTCTCCTCCCTTCCTTCCTTCCTTCTGTCCTTCCTTCCTTTCCTTCCTTCCTTCCTTCCTTCCTTCCTTCCTTCCTTCCTTCTTTCCTTCTGTAATGGAGATTGAAGTCATACCCTTAACACTGAGCAACATCCTCATCTCTTTTTATGTTTAGTTTTGAGACAGGATCTTACTAAATTGTCCAGGCAAGCCTTAACTTGTGATCCTCCTGCCTCAGCCTCTCAGGTGGCTGGGATTACAGGTATGGCCCATCAACCTGAACCTTGCTTATTTCTTTTTAACACTGAATAATATTCCATTGTATGGATGTGCCATAGTTTGTTTACCCATTCACTTACTGGAGGACATCTTGATTGCTTCTAAATTTTGGCAATTATAAATGAGACTGCTATAAATATGCATACACATATTTTTGTGTGCACATAATTTTCAACTCTTTTGGGTAAATACCAAAGTGCATAATTGCTGAATCATACAGTTATTAGTATGCTTTTTAAGAAACTCTCAAATTCTCTTCCTTTTTTTTTTTTTTGTACCAGGGATCAAACTCGGGACCTTGCGTTTGTGTAGCAGGCATTGAAACCACTGAGCTAAATCCCTAGCCCCAAATTCTCTTCCAAAATGGCTGTTCATTTTTTGGTGTGGGGGTTGGGGAAATGAGACTTGAACCCAGGGCCTTTGTACTGAGCTACATTCCCAAACATTTTTATTTTTTGTTTTTATTTCCAGACAGTGTCTCACAAAGTCTCTAAATTTCCCAGTTTGGGCTTGAATTTACAATCCTCCTGCCTCAGCCTCCAGGAATGCTGGGATTGCAGGTGGGCACCACCACACCCAGGTTATAGCTGTTCCATTTCGCATTCCCACCAGTAATGAATACAGGCTTGTGTTGTCAGTGCTTTGGATTTCAGCCACAGGGTCTAAGTCACTAAATTGCCAAGGCTGGGCTCAAACTTTTGATCCTCCTGTCTCAGACTCTGAGAGTCCTGGGATTATAGGCATTCGCCACCATATTAATTTTTGATGTCAACTAATTAAATGTCTGGATACTTGGAAGATCTGTATAATTCAGTGAACCAACGTTTTCTAAACGACTGTATGTATTATTTTACAAAATAATGCAGGTCCATTCAAAGAGCAAAACGTAGCCAGGCATGGTGGTGTGTGCTAGTAGTCCCAGCACTCAGGAGGCTGAGGCAGGAGTATCACCATGAGATTGAGGCCAGCCTAGGCAATATAGTGAGTTCCAGGCCAGCCTGAACTACATAGTAAGACCATGTCTCAAGAAATATCAAAAGCAAACAAGAAACTAAAGGGCTGGGGATTTAGCTTAGTGGTTTCACCACCTGCTGCGCAAGCGCAAGGACCCGAGTTCGATCCCGTGTACCAAAGACCCCCCCCAAAAGCCCTAAAATAGCAAAGAGCAAGGCATATTAATGTTTTAATTGGGAGTGGTTGGGTACCTGAAATTCCAGCACTTTGGGAGGCTGAGGCAGGAAGATTTCAAGTTTTCCAGCCTGGGTAATTTAGCAACTTACCAAGACCCTGTTTCAAAATAAAAGACAAAAGAGGCTGGAGATGTATCTCAGCGTGAACATCTTGAGTTCAATCCTCAGTACCACAAAGGAAAAAAAAAGATGTATTAATGATTATAAAGTAATAGAGACTTTGGTTCATAGATATGTTTAGATTCCACATGCCAATTAACCTTTCAAAAACTTTCATTTGTGGGCCAGGGTACAGTTCATTTGAACAGTGCATGCTTAGCATAATGTGAGGCCCAGAGTTCAATTCTTAGACAACCCCACCCCCAGCTACTGCTTCGACAAAAAGTAGCAACAAGCCAGGCATAGTGGTGCAAGCCTGTAATCCCAGTACTTGGGAGGCTGAAGCAAAACTGCTACAAGTTTGAGGCCAGTCTGAACTACATACAACATACAGGGTCTTCCCTTTCCAATTGGTTAATCTGTGAGGTCAGATTTCTTTTATACCCTTCAGTTAACATTTCACAACAGATTTTTGACTTTTTGTTAAAAATATACTTATTTTTCATAAAATGGGATGTATGTAGACATAACCTTATTATTGTATTTTTTAACGAATCAATTCAAAAATTTAAAGTTGCTTATTTAAAACGTTTCTTAATTTTCTTTCTTTTTTGGCGGGGTTACCAGGGATCGAACTCAAGTTCTTGAGCTTGTGCAGCAGGCGGCAAAACCACTGAGCTAAACCTCCGGCCCGAAACGTTTCTTAATTTAAAAATTTTCAGGATTTGGATGTAGCTCATTTTTAGAATATTTGCTTAGCATGCACCAGTCCCTGGCTTCCATTCCGAGGAAATAAATAAGTAAAATTTCCAATATCACAAATATTAAAATATATAATCCACATAAAAACAAAGCGGGTTTTGTTTGTTCTTTGAGACAGGGTTTCAGGGTCTCACTATGCAGTTCAGGCTGGCCTTGGACTCGTGGATATCCTCCTGCCTCTATTATTTCTAGAAGTGTAGAGGGGTCCAGAGATCAAAGTTTGAGAACCACTGCTCTGGGATGGTTGGTTTTCCTGCTGGCTAACCCCAGTGGGGAGAATTAGGTACAAGTCTGGACCACACTCTCCTCCCTGCGCTTATTCTGCATCCCTTCTTCAGCTAAGCTATTTTATCGCCCCTGCGGCTTTCAAAGCTAGGGTTTCCTACAGGTAGAGAGAATGGAGGGATCTGCGCACGCCCTCTAAACCGGAGCAGCTCTTCAGTGACTCAGTCAATAACCTCTGGGGGAAAAATGTCTGCTCTTTGCACCAAACCCCTTAGGCTAGGGAACAATACAGGTACGCTGTAAGCTGGAGGAACGTCAGGAGTTGGGAGAGAACCCAAAGAAGTCAGGGAGTGCTGAGGCTTTTGAAAAGGACGCAAGGACGAGACTGGCAGCATTCACAGAGATTAGCAAGCCTAGCAGTCACTCGTCAGTTCTCCATCTCTGCAAAATTTGGCCCTCCCCGCCTCTCTGCGCCTGCGCTATCCCGCCCCAAGCCTCCCCCCCCCGTCCGGACTCTTCACGACAGTGCTGGTGCTTTTCGGCTGATGCTGATGTGTCGGGGAGGCGGGGCTTAGGGGTGCGGAGTCTCACGGCTCCACCTGCTCGGGCCTAGCCTCCGGGTCCTCCTGCGTCAGCGGAGCGATGGCGGCGCGGGCCCGGTCAGTGCGGGCCCCGCCCGGCTCAGGTAGGCGTAGGACCCGCCCTGCGGCGGGAAGAAGGGCGTTGCTCGGAGGCGGGCAGGTGGTCGCCCAGGGGAACCTGGGCAAGGAGCTGTTCAGAGATTGCAGCCTGCATCCTCGGGATGACAGCAGCATTCGGCAGCGCTCTGCAGTTGGGGGGCTGCAGTCCAAAGGGTTCGGGGATCTTGAAGAGTCCCGGGGGAGGGGCTGCACTGCCGGGATGTTTCTGGCAGTCAGAGCTCAGTAGGAGAATCCAAGTGAACGGCAGACCTGGGGGTTTGGGGACTGAGATTTTGTGATTTGGAAGAAGCCTTCCCCAAGCCCTGCCCTCACACTTTCTCTGTTTACTGGTTGTAGATAAAGTACAGAAGGACAAGCCTGCCCAGGCCTCAGGGCCCAGGCAGGGCAGCCGAATGGGGAAACTCTTAGGTTTTGAATGGACAGACTTGTCCAGTTGGAAGAGGCTGGTGACCCTGCTTAATCGGCCAACAGATCCGGCAAACCTAGGTGTCTTTCGTTTTCTCTTCGGTGAGTCCACTATCTAGGTGGGGACAGTTGGGTTGGTGGTGGGAAAATGACAGTCGTGTTTCTTGGTTACTTAAACTTAGCTCCCCTTTCCGTCAAGCTGAAGAGAATTGACATATTGGAAGAGGTCTTTGTGAAGTTTAGGAACAAAGCCAGCTTTGTCTCCTTCAATTAGTTTGGTGACCAAAAATGCTTTCATTTGAGACTATGTGAAACACAGAAGCAGAGGAACAGGGACATGTTTTGCTTGTGGCATGAAGTTGCCCAGTACTAACTTCAGAGAAACAGAGCAAGGTAGCAAGGCCAAACATTTGGCTGTAACTTACTGACCCGGAGCTTCCTAACTCATAGGCCATGGCATATGTTTGGCATGGGTTATGGACATGCCAAACTATCATCCTCTTTGCCCAGTAGTTCTCAGTGGGGGAGTTTTGCTCCTGGGGTGCTTTGGCAGTGTCTGGAGACATTTTTAGTTGTCACAACTTAGGGAAGGAATAGGCAGCTGTTGACATCTATGTGGGCACCATAGATGCTACTAGATGTCTTATAACACACAAGATAATCATTCCAGCAAATAAGTAACCAGCCCAAAATGTAATCTGTTCTGAGGTTCCGAAACCCTCCTTCTCTCAAGCTGGCTTCCTGACTTAAACAGCCCTTCTGTTTATCCCTGAGTATTGGCCAAACACTACTGCTTTCCTGAGTGTGCTAGAAAGCAAGAGACTTAGAAAGACCCCTCCCTAGAGCACTTTGCATAGCCAGGTACGATGGATCTTTGTAACTTAAAGCCCCAACAGTTTTATAGGATTTTGTACATTTCTTTCATTCAGTCCTCTCTGTAACCCAATGAGGTATTGAGTCTCCTCTTCAGAAGTGAAGAATTGGCTCACTGAAATGCAGGGACTAGTGGCCAGCACAGCATAGGCTATGTAATTATTGTTAGAACCAAGATTAGAAATCTGACCCCAGAGCTAGACATGCTCACCCGGTTTCTGCTGTATTCTGCTGCTACTTTAGCTGAGACTTAACAGTCCCCTCCCCTCTTGCCACTGCAGCCTTCTTGATGGTACTGGACATCCCCCAGGAGCGAGGGCTCAACTCCTTGGACCGGAAATACCTGGATGGGCTGGATGTGTGCCGCTTTCCCTTGCTGGATGCCCTGCACCCTCTGCCCCTTGACTGGATGTATCTTGTCTACACCATCATGTTTCTGGGTGAGGGAACTGTGGGAGATATGGAAGTACTTACTGGCCTGCAAAACACCAAAATAAGAAGCATGTTAGTGAATGACCAAGGTCTTGGGTGCCTATTTCACATCTACTGTGATTCGATTTCATGCTACTCATCTATGTGTCATCTGCACTGAGACCCCCTAACTCTTCTTTTAAAAAAAGTAACATTTAATTTTCATTTAGTTTTACCTGATTATAAAATGCCTGATGACTTTTCTTAATGCAAGTCCTAGCCTGTCCCCAGGAGGCTGGGGCTGTGGAGACCCCTTGACCTCTCAATCCTCTCCCACAAACCCCAGGGGCACTGGGTATGATGCTGGGCCTGTGCTACCGGATAAGCTGTGTGTTATTCCTGCTGCCCTACTGGTACGTCTTTCTTCTGGACAAGACATCATGGAACAACCACTCCTACCTGTATGGTTTGCTGGCCTTTCAGCTGACTTTTATGGATGCAAACCACTACTGGTAAGAGTCTGGGAGAAAGCAAGGGAGGGATTGGCTGGGTTGGAATGCTTACTAGTGGTGAGGGCCCAGTGAGGTCCTAGAAATTGCCCTAGTAGGCATATTATTAACCATGTTTTGCAAAGTGTGGATTCAAGATCACACTTGGACTTGCAATGGATTTGGAATGGGGACTGGCCAGCCAGTTGGGGCGATTGGAGTGACAAAAAGTAAAATGTCTCCATCCTTCACTCTTTTCCATATTTTCCCATCTGCCTTGATCTATCCACTTCCTGTAATGCTCTTAGAAGAGAAGCTGGGTGTGGTGGCACACGGCTGTAATCCCAAGCACTCGGGAGGCTGAGAGACAGGATCAACATGAGTTTGGGTCCATCCTGGGCTACATAATGTGTTCAAGGCCAAGCTGAACTGTATAGTGAGGCCTTGTCTCAAAAAAAAAAAAAAAAGTGCTGAGGAGGAGATCATGTCAGAGGAAAGGGTCCATCAGGGAGGAAATAACCTTCCCCCAGCTCTGGCATAGGTGACCATCTTTCAGGAGAGGTGAGGAAGAAAGGATTTGCAGTTAAGGTGGCAGGGCAAGTGACCTTCTTTCCATTGTTAAGTGAAAAGCAAATGTGAAATTTCAATAAGGTGGATATAGGAACAAAATCTCAAGCATTGAATTCATTGACATTCATGAGATTTCATCCATGATACACACATACAGATTCCACTTTTGTAAACCTTTTATTTTTTATGTTTTGGAGCTAGGTATGGTGGTGCTTTGGGTCATAGAGATTGAATGTATGGCCTCATGCCTGTTAAGCAAGTGCTTTACAACTGAGCTCTATCCCTGCTCTCCTTCTACCATGACTTTAAGAACATCTGGGCATGGGGGCCACTCCTAGCACTTGAGAAGCTGAGGCGGAGGATTGCTGTGAGTTCAAGGCCAGCCTGAACTACATAGTGAGACCCTGTCTCAAAAAGCAAAACAAAACAGGGCCAGGGATTTAGCTCAGTGGTGCTGCTGCCTGCCTTGCAAGCACAGGGTCCCGAGTTCGATCCCCAGTACAAAAAAAAATGAAAAGGAGTGTCCAGCCCTGATCATAGAGAATTAAGAAGTAGTTTTGACAGATTATCCCTGGGATTTTTCATTTTTATGACTTTTATACATTTTGAAAAAATTAGCTATCATTTACTGAGAGCTTTCCTTATGGCAGGAACATTTAAAATTTTTTCTCATTAAAACTCTGTGACAGGGCTGGGGATTTAGCTCAGTGGTTCCACCGCCTGCCCTGCAAGCGCAAGGACCCGAGTTTGATCCCCAGTATCAAAAAAACAATACAAAACCCTATGACAAAAAAAAAAAAAACTTATGACAATGGTGGTGAACCTGTGACATGTGTGCCGAAGCAGGCATGCAGAACCCTCTGTTGGTATGCGAGCCAAATCGCCCCAGCAGCGAGCATCTGATATTCAGGTTTAATTCCAGTGTTGCACTTTGAAATAAATATGTTTTGGGTTGCAGTTTGGGCACTCGGTCTCTAAAAGGTTCTCCATCACTGCCCTATGAAAAGCTGGACACTTGTCTGTAATCCCAGCACTCAGGAGGCTGAGGCAGGAAGGTTGCAGATTCAAGGCCATCCTTGGCAACTTAGTGAGACCCTGTCTTAAAAAAAAGAGCTGGGCTGGGCCAGAAAGTTAGCCCAGTGGTGCCACTGCCTGCCTCACAAGTGCAAGGTTCCGAGTTCGATCCCTGGTACCAAAAAAAAAAGAGCTGGGGATATAGCTCAGTAGTAGGGCACTTGTCTAGCATGTGTGAGACCTTGGGTTCAGTCCCCAGCACTGCAAAAAAGATAAAAGCTACAAGGTCCATAGTGTTGTTCTCATTTTATAGATGAAGAAACTAAGTCTTTCAGAAGTAGAGGATTTGTCTAAGGTCACACAGCAGGTAAGAAACAGAAGTGAGTGCAGGTATCCTCGACTGAAGAGTCCAGTGCGCTTGACTACAAACATACGCTTCGTCTTTCCCAGCTTCTTGAAAACCTGCTTTGTATCTGCCTCCCCAGAATACATGTGGTGTTAGTGGCCTGGTTTTATCAGTTCTGTCCTAGTGTCAAAGCTAGTACCTGGATGCATTGGATCCTGGCATCTGGTCTATGAAGTGCTAGTTTCCACTGTACATTATTCTGCTGTGGAGTGCTTTGAATTTTTTTTGCAGTGCTAAGAATTGATCCCAGGGTTCAAGGCCTCACACATGCTAGAGAAGCATTCTACTACTGAGCTACATCTGCAGCCCTGAAATTTTTTACAAAAGAGAATATATGTGTGTGTCTAATTTGCACACATCTGTAGCTTTTCAAACATTCCCTCAAATTCGTAATTCATTGCCTTTCTCAATCATTTTCTAATTGTAGCCTTTTTTCCCCTGACCTTATCCATTAGAGCAGACGGAATTGTGAGCTAATGGCAAACACTGAACTTTTCATTGTTATAACTTTCTACAGACAGTCTCTGATTTATAATGTGACTTAGGTTTTTTTGACTTTATGGTGGCACAAAAGCATATCCATACAGCATTCTGTTTTTCACTTTGGGTTTCATATTCAATAAATTGTGTGAGCTGGTCATGGTGGCACACACCTGTATGTAATTCCAGCACTTGGGAGGTTGAGGCAGGAGGATTGTGAGTTTGAGGCTCGCCTGGGCTACATTGTGAGATCAGGCCAGCCTGGACTATACAAACAATACCATGTCTTGAAAAACAAGAGCAAAACCAAATTAAAAAAAAATTAAATTCATTAGTCAACATTTCATTATAAAAAAGGTTTTGTGTTAGATGATTTTGCCTAACTGTAGGCTAATGCAGGTGTTCTGAGCACATTTAAGGTAGGCTAGGCCACCCATGTAGGTTATATGTATCAAATCATTCTTGGCTTACAATATTTTCAATTTATAATCAGTTTATTCAGACATCATAAATCAAGGAACATCTGTAGTAATATTTCTTTTATTATTGTTTTTTCCTGTATTCAAGGTTGAGCCCAGGGCTTCACCCATGCTGGGAAAGCACTCTACCTCTGAGCTGCATCCCTAGCCCTTTTTTATTTTGAGCAGGGTCTTACAAAGTAGTCCAGGATGGCCTAAAATTTGGCAGTCCTCCTGCCTCAGCCTCGTGAATAGCTGGGATTACAGGCATGCACCGCCTGGCTGTAGTAATATTTCTTTTATAACTTAAAAGAATTCCTGGCTGGGGATTTACCTCAGTGGTTTCGCCGCCTACTGTGCAAGCACAAGGACCTGAGTTCGATCCCTGGTACCAAAAAAAAAGTTTGGGCTGGGGATTTAGCTCAGTGGTTTCGCTGCCTGCTGTGCAAGTGCAAGGACCCAAGTTCGATCCCCGGTACCAAACAAAAAAAGAATTCCTGTTCCACTGGGCTAGGATATAGTGAGTGGTAGAGTGCTTGCCTAGGATGTGTGAGGTCCTGGGTTTGATCCCTAGCACAGCAGAAAAAAAAATCAATGTTTGACTTCGTTCATATCTTTCTAAAGGGTCTCAGAATAGCCCAGAGGAGCAGGGAGGATGTGGGAGGTATCCCTGACATAGATAGAATTGTTACAATTGAAAGGGTTAAGAAACCTTCCTTAATGTTTAACTTCCTTGGGGTTAGGTCTGTGGATGGCCTGTTGTGTGCCCGGAAGAGGAATGCCCATGTGCCCCTCTGGAACTATGCGATGCTGCGTGGTCAGGTATGGGATCTTAGTACAGAGGAAGGTGTTCCTGGATTGCATGGTTTTCCACTGCAGGCTGCACCCTGCCTTCCTAGATTGTCTCAGTATTCCATTTGCTGGAAAGCTAGGCTAGCTTTTCCATTTTTTCCAATCAAATCTCCTTGTCATGGAATGAATAGTGCTTTGTGCGTGATGAGAATCTTCATGAGAGAAAGGATCACAGCTGTGCTTTTGTCTTCTTCCTTGGTGCCTCATACTGTGCCTGACATAGGTAGGATGTCAGCAGATGCTTATAGGTTAAGTGACTATCTGAGGTGAATGGACAGAGGGATAGATATTCTCTTTCTTGAGCCCTGTACTGAGATCAGAACTGACTTTATTGTTGACAATGAAAACAATGTTTCTTGATGTAGAAAACAATGGTTTTTTTGTTTGAATCTTCATGTTGCATTTTGTGTTTGCAGATCTTCATTGTGTACTTCATTGCTGGTGTGAAAAAGCTGGATGCAGACTGGGTTGAAGGCTATTCCATGGAACATCTATCCCGGCACTGGCTCTTCAGTCCCTTCAAGTGAGTGATGATCAGGAGGCCTCCCTGGGGATTCATCTCCCTAGGGTCTGCAGTGATGGTGGCTGTTCCTGGTCCCTCACTCCCCTGTTCAGCAGAAGGCAGAGTCAGTGCTATTAAAAAACTGACCCCCAGCTGCCCCTGGGAGACTTATAAGTGGGCAAGAAGGGAAAAAGAAAAAGGAAAAGAAGAGCCAGGACTAGATGACTGGGTGAATAAGCAAGCTTGCCCAGCAGTTGTCTTGGCCCTGCCACCTTAGCCATGTGCCAGGGCCCTGCAGCCAGGGTACTGAGGAGCTGGGCAGCTGCTGTCCACACTCTGACATGACCACTATTTCCAACTCTGCAAAACAGAGGTTCACCTCTGGCTTTTCTCTTCCTGCCTCTCACTTTGTTCTTTTTCTTCTTCCTTGTTACTTGTCACTTCCTGAAGTTTGACTTAACTGTGTTCATCTTTTAAAGTTTCTTCTCCTTTATAACCTCTGTGAGGAACCTGCCCCCTACAACACACCCACTTCCCCATCAGATCTTGTCCTAGGAGATTTGCCTTTGCTCTTCACAGAAGATTATGTTGAAAACAGCTGGACACCTGCAGGGGCTGGAAAACTACACTGTAGAGCATTTCTGTGGGTGGGTTAGGTACCTCCTCATTCTGCTCAGCCAGTGGGTGTCCATTAGCAAGGACAGGGTGGCAGAGGCACATTGTGCTGCGAATGTGGTGTGATGTGGGTTTCCCAGAGGGCTGGTGTTGTACCTTTGTCCCTGTGTCTGCAGACTGGTGTTGTCTGAGGAGCTGACTAGCCTGCTGGTGGTGCACTGGTGTGGGCTGCTGCTCGACCTCTCCGCGGGCTTCCTGCTCTTCTTTGATGCCTCAAGACCCATTGGCTTCTTCTTTGTGTCCTACTTCCACTGTATGAACTCCCAGCTCTTCAGCATCGGTCAGTACTTGAAGCTGGCTAGGGAACTGGCACCACAGGTTTGCAGGGAGACACTAGCAAGAGGCATTGTTTGAGTATGGAGATATCGGTGGTGGGAGCAGGAGCTAAACTGAGCCCAAAGCAGTCACTATGAAGTGGCAATAAGTGGGAATGAGAGGATTGGGCATTCTGGGCTCAGCATGCTTAGTTAGGAACCTCTAAGAAGAGGTATTCTATAGTTAAGAATCTGGCCAGATGTGATGGCACACAGCTGTTATCCCAGAACTCAGGAGGCAGAGGCAGGAGGACTGCAGTTATTCTAAGGCCAGCTTGGGCTACATAGTGAGTTCAAGGCCAGCCTGAACTATGTTGAAAAACCCTGTCTCAAACAAGAAATGAATTTGGCCTGGCATGGTGGTGCCTACCTGTAATCCCAACATTCTGGGAGGCTGAGGCAGGAGGATCACAAGTTAAATCCCAGCCCAAGCAACTTAGCAAGACCCTGTTTCAAAATTTGAAAAAAAAGGGCCAGGGATTTAGCTCAGAGGTTCCAGTGCCTGCCTCGCAAGTGCAAGGTCCTGAGTTCGATCTCCGGTTCCAAAAAAAAAAAATTTTGAAAAAAAGGGGGTGGTGGTGGTGGCTGGAGATGTACCTCAGTGTAAAGGCCTTGGGTTTTCTCCCTAGTACCACAGTAAAAGATGAATTTTTGGCTGGGGATTTAGCTCAGTGGTGCTGCTGTTTGCCTTGCAAGTGCAAGGTTCTAAGTTCAATCCCTGGTCTAAAAAAAAAACCATAAATTTTTTTAAAAAGCTGGTGATATAGCTCAGTGGTAGAGTACTTGCCTACCATGAACCAGGCCCTGCATTCAGTCCCAGCAGTAGAAGAAAAATGGGAATTTTTTTTTTTTTTTTTTTTTGTGGTGCAGGAGATCATGTACAGGGCCGTGCATATGCTAGACAAGCATTCTGCCACCCAAGTAGTTGTATGTGTGTATGCATGTGTGGGTAAGGAGGATTGGACCCCAGGGCCTTCATATTGAGCTATACCTGTGGCCTTTTTTATTTTTAATTTTATTTTCATTAGTACATTTGCAGTACATAATGAATACATTCATCATGGGGAGGTGGTACATGTATGCATACACATAACACATCTTAATTCTGTTTATGTCTTACCCCCCCTTCATTCCCCTCATTTATTTTTTACTTTGAGTCAGGGTTTTGCTGAGTTGCCCAGGCTTGGCTCAAACCCAGTATCCTCCTGTCTCAGCCTCCCAGAGTGCTGGGATGACAGGCATGCCTGCCATGCCAGGCCCCAAGGACTCAAGTGGAATACCTGGGAGAGGCTTCTAAGGAGGGGCGTTACAGGAGTCCACTCAACCTCTTGAAATACCTTCTGCTGTCCTAGGTATGTTTCCCTATGTCATGCTGGCCAGCAGTCCTCTCTTCTGCTCCCCTGAGTGGCCTCGGAAGCTTGTATCCCACTGTCCCAAACGGCTTCAAGAGCTGCTGCCCCTCAAGGCTGCCCCTCAACCCAGCGCTTCTTGTGTGTATAAAAGGACCCGGGCCAAAGGCAGCCAGAAGCTGAGGCTGCGCCACCAGCTAGGTGCTGCCTTCACCTTACTCTACCTCCTGGAGCAGCTCTTCCTGCCCTATTCCCACTTTCTCACCCAGGTTGGTAGGAGCTTGCATGTGCAGCAGAGCCTAGAGTGGCAGGGAGACGGTAGCTGGGAAAAAATGGGCTGGTTCTGCAGCCCTTTCTGGTTAGATGATGGAGTTGGTGTGAGAAGCACTGAGCTGATCCCCCTCTGCCAGGGCTATAACAACTGGACCAACGGGCTGTACGGCTACTCCTGGGACATGATGGTGCACTCCCGCTCCCACCAGCACGTGAAGATCACCTACCGTGATGGGCTAACCGGCGAGCTGGGCTACCTTAACCCTGGGGTGAGGCATCTCGTGCTGACGGTAGACTGCTCTTCAGAGACTGCAGGAGCTTCAGGGCTGGTTTGGTCCTACACATACCATAAAGTAAAACAAACTTGGGTGCCTTCCCTTTCTCCAGAGCCAGATTGAGCCTTCCCTTTGTGAGTTGAGATAGAACGTCTCTCACATTGTTTTGAATCAGGGTCTCACTGTGTAGTTTGGGCTGGGTTTAAACTCACTGTGTAGCCCAGATTGGCTTTGAACTTTCGATACTCCTGCCTCACCCACCAAAGGGCTGAGATTACAGGTGGAGCCACTATGCTTGGGTTAATCTCTTACTTTTTTGAATTGAGATCAGATTTAGGGAAGGTGAGTATGAATATCATTAGCCCTGCAATGAAAAATTCATTCCCAAAGACAAGTTTGTTTTTCAGTATGGGGTTTTGAACCTAGGGCTTTCACACAGAACTATAGCCTTTTTTATTTTTATTTTATTTATTTATTTTGGTACCGAGGATCAAACTCAGCCCTTTTTAATGTTTTATTTAGAGACAGGGTCTTGTTGACTTGCCCAGGCTGGGCTTGAATTTGTGATCCTTCTGCCTCAGCCTCCCAGAGTGCTGGGATTACAGGCTTGTGCCACTGTGCCCAGCTAATTTTTTTTCCTGGCTAAAATGGGCAGCAGGTAGCAATATTTTTGTGCCATTGGCAGTGCATGCCCTGTCCTGGGGGTTGATGATGAGGTGGGACTAATGTGGGGGTTTGGGACAGGTATTCACACAGAGCCGACGATGGAAGGATCACGCAGACATGCTGAAGCAGTATGCCACTTGCCTGAGCCGCCTGCTTCCCAAGTACAATGTCACTGAGCCCCAGATCTACTTTGATATTTGGGTCTCCATCAATGACCGCTTCCAGCAGAGGTGGGCAAGGGGAGCAGAGAATGGGAAAAAATGAAGCTCAGCTCTTTCTGCCAAGATGAACAAACAGCTCACCCTCCCTGGAGTTGTCTTGCTTAAAAGGCTGCCGCGCTAATGCATGTCCTTGTTGAGCTGGTTGTGGGCATTTCTGATTGCGTCCAGCAGGGGGCTCCATCATCCGGAAGAAAAGAGAACTGAATGTTCTTTTACTCTTTGTGCCTTCCCCTCAGGTGGCCACTTAACCCCCATTCTTTCCAAGGCTCCCACATCTGTTTCCCTTCTCTCTCCCCTGGACTGGCAGTAACATGCTGACAACAAGCCATTTCTTCTATCTGGAAACCCCATTCCCTCGCTGGGAATGAGGAACAGAGCCAGGAGTTGTGGGTGGCTGGGTGGCTGGGGCTCCTTAGAGCACGATTTTCTTTCCTAAGGCTCTTTGACCCTCGTGTGGACATCGTGCAGGCTGTCTGGTCCCCTTTCCAGCGAACACCTTGGGTGCAGCCACTTTTGATGGACTTATCCCCTTGGAGGACCAAGTTACAGGAAATCAAGAGCAGCCTAGACAACCACACAGAGGTGGTCTTCATTGCAGATTTCCCTGGTATGGAGGAAAATAAGAGATTGCTGTTTCCTGGGCGTCCTTGGCCAGGGACTTTTCATGTGTTGCAGTGGGTGGGTGGGTGGGGGTCCCTCTGGAGTGATGATTGGGAAGGTGCGATGTCTCAACTGTGGGTGGAATTGGGAATTCTGATAACCCCGGCAGGGCTACACTTGGAGAATTTTGTGAGTGAAGACCTGGGCAACACTAGCATCCAGCTGCTGCAGGGGAAGGTGACTGTGGAGTTGGTGGCAGAACAGAAGAACCAGACGCTTCAGGAGGGAGAAAAAATGCAGGTATTTTGGTGGGATTAACAGTGGTAGAAAGTTTTTATTATAAACAAAAATGTCTCAGCGGAAGGTCCCGAGTTCAATCTCTGGTACTAAAAAAAAAGTTTCATCCATAGCAGTATTGCAGTGGGGCCTTCAAAAGGCAAGAGCTTTGGCTGGGGGTGTAGCCCAGTGGTAGAGAACATGTACATACAGGCTCTTAGTTTAATCCTCCACATGCGTGTGCATGTGCCCACACGCACATACACTCACACACAGGCTGTGAATAGCTTCATCCAGGAGTCAGTTACTTCAGACTCTGAAACACAAAAATGGTACCAAGAAGGGTGCACAACCGTAATCCCAGCACTTGGAAGGCTGAGGGAGGAGGATCACTGCAAGTTCAAGGCCAGCATGGGCTCCATAGTGTTTTTAAGATCAGCCTGAACTACACAGTGAGACCCTGACTCAAAAAAAAAAAAAAAAAAAATGGTGGCAGGAGTGGGTAGAGTAGGGAGGCCATTGGCTGGCTAGGGAAAGGTTAGAGTGAAGTACACCCATTTCTTCCCCTTGTCAGTTGCCTGCTGGTGAGTACCATAAGGTGTATACAGTGTCACCTACTCCGTCCTGCTACATGTACATCTATGTCAACACTACAGAGCTTGCCCTGGAGCAAGACCTAGCATATCTGCAAGAATTAAAGGAGAAGGTAGAGAATGGAAGTGGTGAGTATATGAAGATTTGAGGAGGTAGCCCCTGGCTTCAAAAAATCAGGGTTGGCTGGGTGTGGTGGCGCATGACTGTAATCCCAACACTTGGGAGACGGGGGCAGGAAGACTGCTGTGAGTTCAAGACCAGCCTGGGCTTCGTGGTGAGTCAAGGCCATCCTGAACTACATAGTGAGGCCCTGTCTCAAAAAACCCAGACAAAACAAAGTCAGGGTTATGAATGAGGATCTAGCCATTAAAGAATGAACTTGAAGCCCCTGGTTAGTGAAGAGTTCTAAGGGAAATAGGGCTCTGTCTCTGATTTTTTCTTGTCTTCTGACAGAAACAGGGCCTCTACCTCCAGAGCTGCAGCCTCTCTTGGAAGGGGAAATAAAAGGGAGCCCTGAGCCAACACCTCTAGTTCAGACCTTTCTTAGACGCCAGCAAAGGCTCCAGGAGATTGAACGGCGACGAAATACCCCTCTCCATGAGCGGTTCTTCCGCTTCTTGCTGAGAAAGTTGTATGTCTTTCGCCGAAGGTAGGTCTCACCCATAGTAGTAGTTATCATTGCCATCATGTTTGCAAGCATGATACTTTTCTCCAGGGTTGTCAACACTAGAGACACTCCAAGGAAAGGACAGCCTGGTTTAGGTATCTTCTCTGTCCCATCTCCTCTCCTGATTGAAGGAATAAGCAGCCTGTGTCTGATGACCTGCTGTCTTGTACCTCAACTTGTCTCCAGCCTCCCCATGGCTTATTCTTCCCTTCCCTGGAATCTTCTGCCAGACTGTATAGGTAGTGGGGTATCTTTCCAGCTGGGACATGGTCACTGGTATGCGGGATGGAAATTGGGGGATTCTCCCAGTATGCCAGGGTGAGTGGAGCTAGGACCAGGTGCTCCTTCAGCACTTTGGCTGGAATTGTTAGGTTGAAACAAGAGTTTGGACTGAGCCAGGTGTGGTGACACATGCCTGTGATCCCAGCACTTGGACCGCCCTGAGTTTGAGGCCAGCCTGGTACATAGTGAGTTCAAGGCCAGCCTGAACTAGTGAGATCTATCTCAAAAACCATTAAAAAAAATTTTTTTTGGACTGAGTAGTTTTTTTCCTGTTTTTCAGCTTCCTGATGACTCGTATATCACTTCGAAATCTCTTATTAGGACGCCCTTCTCTGGAGCAGCTAGCCCAAGAGGTGACTTATGCCAACTTGCGGCCTTTTGAGCCAGCAGGAGAATCAACTGCTTCAAACAGGGATGCCAGTCCTAATCCTCCTGAACTAGATTCTGATCCTACCCACTCAGAGTTGTGAGGGAGCCCAGATAGGTGCAGATGTGGAAGCAGCCAATCACAGGCCCAGTATAACTATGCAGTGGACAATTGAGAAAATTCAGGTTTTTTTACATTTTCTTTCAAAGTTCTTTTTAATGGAGAAGATTGCTTGGAGGAGCCAAGGAAATAAAGCAAAGATAAGATTTTTCAATTCAAAGACAGTTTTTTTTTTGGTACTGGAAATCGAACTCGGGACCTTGCGCTTGCGAGGCAGGCACTGGAGCCACTGAGCTAAATCCCTGGCCCAAGATTTTTTAAGATTGAAGGAACATAAGTTAGAAGCAATGTGAGATGTTCTCTTAGAATAAAGGGATAAAAGTTTAAATTGAATAGCTCTTTAGGAAAAGAAACTGTTCTCAAGTGCTTGCTGAGTGCTAGGCACTTCGTGAAGTAGTATACCTATTATCACACAAGTCTTTTAAGACAGGGACTCACTTTGTAGTTCAGGTTGGTCTTGGACACACTATTCAGCCCAGGCTGGCCCTGAACTCATGGTAATCCTCCTTCCTTAGCCTCTGGGTGCAGGGATTACAATCGTCTGTCACCATGCCCACCACCACATTTAATTGGTTAACAGCCATTAATCTCTTTATAGCTGGTAGACTGAAAGGTGAAATAATTTGCCCAGACATCCAGCTAGTAAGGAGTGGACTGATGATTTGAACTTAGGTCTATTTGACTTAAGGTCCTGCACCGTGTTGCTTGTAAATTTTCAGAACTGGTGACAGTTAACTCTGAAATACTGTAGCTTCAAACTTAACAGAACGAGGCAGGAGGATCACAAGTTCAAACCTAGCCTGGGCAATTTAGTGACTTGGTGAAACCATCTCAAAACTTTAATAAAGTTGGGAATGCAGTTCAATGTGAAGACCCTGGGTACAACCCTAGCACCACCCCCCCTAAAAAAAATTTAAACAGTAGTGATTAGAAAAAAAAAGTAATGATTAGGACAGAGATCAGGTTCTAAATGCACAAAATAATTTTATCAGCACCATAATTGTTCCTATTTATATGGCTGATTAGGTTTTTCACTAGCAATGACCAAGATTTAATAAGAATAGCACCAAAGTTAACAGGGAAATTTAGAAGATTGCTAATATTTCTGAAAAAATTAAGCAACTTTATACTTTGACCAAACCACATCTGGGTTATCAGTTTTCTCTCAAATTTTTAAAAATTAAGTTCCATCAATTCTCTTACATACCTCTTCAGTCTTTTTATTCCTGCTATATTCTTTCAGCCCTTACCCTGGGATCTATCTACTTACTGGTGGACCAAGGCAGGGTCACCATTAGTTGCACAGGTTGGACTTCATTAAGTAGGGTGAGCAGAGTCTTCTGATTCAGTGTGGCACTGTTGATGGTCATGGGAGAGTTCTCTGATCACCTTGTGAATTGGAGCACTGCTTTTCAATCCTCAAGAACTTTTCGTGGTGGGGACTGAACCCAGGGTTTTGCACCTGCTTGTAAAGCTACTGAGCTACACTACCACCTCTTCTCTCATAGCAGTGGTATGCTAAGTCAAGGTATTTCCTGTTTCCCTGTAACTAGTAAAGGAGGGCTTCCATTTAGGAGGACCTCTTAGAAAAATTCATGTGGGGTAAGGAAGCAGCCTTGTTTTGTGTACTACCTCTTTTGACTCATTTTCCAAGGAATATACTGAGGTGAGGCAAGGTGGAGACAGGATGGACTCATGAAACGAAATTGGCAGTACTTGGGGTTTAAACCCAGGGCCTTGGTATTGGGCTACATGCCCAGCCCTTTTTGAGACAGGGTGTCACCAAGTTGCCCAGGCTAGGCTCAAACTGGTTCTTCCATCTCAACTTCCGAGAGTGCTGGGATCAGCCACATACCACCACACCAAACTATAAATTTTTCAATCTAAGCATGATTTACAATTCACATCTTTTCTACACCCACACTTCATGCTTTGCCAACTATCATCACTGCTGTGTCATTTCATGTCTTTACTCTTCTGCTTCTATTCTCCCAGGATATTCACCCACTTCCACTTTATCTTACTTCCCAGAAAAGGGTGCACAAGCCCTGGTATGTGAACTCTTTGAGCTGAAGATCTTTCATTATTGGGTAAATAAACCTCAGCCTTAAAGCAGTTCTTCTGAAAGGAAAGTTCCTGAATGCTGTTGTCCAGTTTTTTGAAGCAGGGTCTCACTATGTGGGTTCAGCCTGAGCTTTAACTATACAGCCCAGGCTGGCCTCAAATTTGCAGTGATCCTGTTTCACTCTCCTCAGTGCTGGGATTATAGGTGTATGCCACCACCCTGGTTTGAGGGACCAATTCCGTCTCTAGGTATTAGCCCCCAGGACCAGACTACTGGTCTGTGGTGTTAGGAAACAGCTGTGCAGAAGGCCGAGTGGCAGGCAGCCAAAGGTTCATTTATACTTACAGCTGCTGTTACTCATATTACCATTTGAACTCTGCCTCAGGTCACAGCAGCAATAGCATCAGATTTTCATGGGAGCACAAACCTGTGAACTGCATGTGGGAGGGGTCTATGTTGCATGCTGAATGCAGTATAATAAAGTACACAATAAACGTGTGCTTGAATCACACTCACCAGGCCTCAATACTCAGCCATAAGTACAAAATTGAGCTACCACTCCCTATCAGACTGGTAGAAATATGCCAATTTTGAGCCTGCATATACTTCAGCTCCTTGTTCAAAGCCAACATGGTCAATGATTTATGTAAAAGCAACCATAAATTAAGCCTCTGGAAACTTATAGCACTCAGTCATCTACATAACAGACTCCCTTTTATAACTGTCGTTTTTTAACACTCAAATCCAGTGACTAACATGTTAAGTATAGAATACTGGGCTGGGGTAGCTCCACCATTAACTGCTTACCATGAGTGGAAACCTAGGTTTGACTTAATACTACAAAAAATATATAGGGGTACAGTATTAAGAGTGACCACCCCACTTTCTATCCTTGCTATAAAATATTCCTGAAGTACAATGAAGGATTAAGATATTCTTCCTCCAGCCACTCACCTTGTATCAGTGTTCTCTATGGTTGCAGAAATCCACTATAGGTCTTGGAATGATCATCCTTCTATCCTCCAGATAAGGCTTAAGTGTAGTGAAAGATACCTGCCATGACTAAAAAAGCAACACTCCCTCTGATACTGCCCTTAATGGTTTCCAATGTAGGATCTTAAGATGGCTGAAACCCTACTACTGACCTCTACAGTAAGGAGGCATGTAGAATACAGCCTAGAAGACAATGGTGGTCAATCAAATCTAGGGATAAGATCATAAATATCTGTGTAATTAATGTTCCTGAATTATAGATTCTAATACTCAAGGCTTATTAAAGATAGTTTTTGCAACCATAGCATTTAAAAATAATGGACACAGTAGGGTAGAACCTAGCATTTTATTTAGATCTTCATTAAACTGTTGGAATTGAGAACCAGACATACGTAATAAACCTCCAAAAATAGATCCTGAAAGGCACTTTCCGCTTAGAGCAAGCAGTCATGGAAGAAGCATGTAAACAAGCTGGCTTCTCTGTACCACACCAGCCAAGTCAGCTTTCTCCATGGCCAGCTGCACCAGCTCTGCCCTCCCTTCTGTAACACCAGCCAGACCCCCTGTAGGTCTAACCCAAGGTTTTTCTGTAGGACACCTTGGCCTACCTGGGAATGCTGGAAACATGTTGTTAAAGGAATCATGGTGTTGAGAGAGAAAAAAAAAAAAAAAAAACTTTTAAAAGCTGCCATCTGAGGTGATGGCTTCTCTGTACTTACGCCATACCCCAGAATACAATAAATAAGCAATTAGAAAATGTTCAAGTATGAAGGGATTTCCTCCTCCCCGCCAAAAGCACTGCTGTCTGAAGGAAGCTGGTTTCTCTGTAGCTACACCAGCTGTTCAGAAAGCTCATTGGACCTGGTTTTGAAAATAAAACAAAGTTAAAACCCTGGGAGGAATTATTGTGCAGTGTGGAATACTCAGTCTTTTCTTATAAAGAAAAAAAAGTTATCTGGTACCAAAGTGTGCAACCTACAGACCCTCAGGTACTGCCCTGTGACTTCTCTGTATGACATCACAAGGGTGCCAAGTGCCTGTTTTTCTAGACTAAGAGTTGGTGAGGTTTGGCTAGTGCTGAAACCATGCATAGGATTGGTTTTAAATTAAAAACCTTATTACGTACGTCCTCCAAAAAGACAGCTGAAAAGTGGAGATTCTGATTTGGTGCTGTTAGAGGTGGCCATGAGAGCATAAGCACCAGGGAGATGGTTTAATGGTAACTGCCTTCTTTTTTGATGTCAGGCTAGAGCTCCAACTGGAACTTGCGTTACATGCAAGACTGATTGGATAGGGAACACTCCCTGACAAAGCTACATAATTAGAAATGGATCAAGTTACAGGGTGAGTTAGGAGAGGGCTTCACAATCATAAGAGCTCAAGACATTATAAATTCATGCTGACAGGGCTGTGGCATTGCCAGACAGGGGCTATAGTGGACCTACAAGTACTTTACGTGCACATTACAAGGACATTTTCAGCATGGTGGGAAGTCAATGCAATTAGGAGTTTGGAGGTTTGAGTGATAGGGCACAAAGGTTCAATTTCAAAGCATTATTCACTACAGTGTTGTCTGTTTCTAGGCAGTTAACATGGATCACCTATGCTCACTAAATTCATTATAATGGTGAACAGAACACCTAGGGACAGAATAGCAAGCCCAACTTACAGTCCCCCACAAAAGCTAAAATTCATGTCATTGACTAGAGAGTGACTGCCAACTGATCAGGAGCTGAAAGAGGACAGGAAAAATTAGGGAGAAGGGCCCTTTCCCTCAGAGCTTGAAGGCTTCTCTGTAGCCTACGCCAACAAGTCTGGGGAAAAAAGGCTAACACTTTCAATATTTAAGCTTTTTGGGCACTTCCCATGGGAAGCTGTCCCTACCAAAGTGGCCATAGGCTGCAGTCCTCTGATAAATTGGCTTCTTCAGATCCAGATCCCTGGAATATATAAGTCCGTAACTTAATATGTAGCATTCAATTAAAATAAAACAAAATAATCAGCAAGACTCATTTTCAAGAGCTCTGGCAAATGAGTTCAGTTCTCTGGGGTATGCTAGGAAAAAAGTTTGTGGCAGAAATGTTTGTTACTTCCCTGGTGTCCGAACTCCTTGCACAGTTATTAGTAACTACAGATGTTTTTCCGGCCCTGGCTCAACAAATAGGAAAACTCATTATTCTGAGGAATTCCAATTATCAAAAAGCTCATCTGAGATCACAGAATACTTACCAAGGTCCCATTGCTCACTATGGTTATTTTCTTTGTAACAGCCTTGAACATCCCACTTATCTATGTATTAAATTTTTCAACGCAAACACCTTTAGGTATGCTTACCAAACCTCATGTCTAGAGTGGTTATTCTAAGCCATGGAACACTAATTTCATTTCTCAACTAAGCCCCCCAAAGGCAATTTAAAGCATCAGCATGTTCTAAGAATTTGTTGTTTTCCCACTTGAGGAGTCTACCTTCACCTCCTCAATTTTAGTATATACACACACCCACACCCTGTACATTTCATTAGCAATATGCTTTACCATCTTTACCTGACAATGACCCCAGGGCGAAGATCAAAATTCTTCTTCACAATCTCTAATAGCTCTCTCTCACTCTTCTGAGAGGTACCATAATGGAAAATGGAGATTGATAATGGATGAGAAACTCCAATAGCATAAGAGACCTAAAAGGATCCAAATGTTCTAAGAGTTAGTATTTCAAAGATATACTTGTATAATACATTGTCATAAAGTAGACTAGCGTATCACTAAATACCTCCCCACCTCACTTTTACAACTTTAATCACTCCAGTTACATAGAGAATGTGTATATATATATACCTGTACAAGAACCCTTCTGCACAGACCTCCTTTAACAAGGGATTTTGCCACCCAACGAGCAGCATAAGCAGCTGAACGGTCCACCTTGGTATAATCCTTTCCGGAAAAGGCACCTCCTCCATGAGCTCCCCAACCACCGTAAGTGTCCACAATGATTTTCCGGCCAGTCAAACCAGCATCACCCTGAAGTTACAAGATTTCAGTCACTAAAAGACTGATAGTAGCAAACATTTTCAAAGTAACTTAGGATCCAAAACCAAAACCAAACCACCACAAATACCGCATTAACATTACCTGAGGCCCACCAATAACAAATCTGCCACTTGGCTGTAGGTGGTAGATTGTGTCCTCATCAAGATACTTTGCAGGCACAACAGCTTTGATAACTTTCTCCTTTAGGGCATCTCTCATCTCATCAAGACAAACTTCCTCATCATGTTGAACAGATATAACAATTGTGTGGACTCTGATGGGAATCACAGCACCTCGATCTTGCATATACTGCACAGTCACCTTGAAGGCAACACAGGTTATCAGAACACTGCTTACCAAATGGATTTCCTATGCTAATGCAATTTCAGACAGTATAGCCTTTTTTGAGATGAGTCTTGTTATGTAGTTCAGGCTGGCCTTGTATTCACTATGTAGCCCAGGCTGGCCTCAAACTCATGGTGATATCCTGCCTCAGCCTCCATAGTGCTGGGATTACAGGTGTAGACCACCATGCCCAGTGACAGTACAGCTTTAAGATCACTTACCTGGGTTTTTGAATCTGGGCGTAACCAAGGCAGGGTGCCACTGCGGCGTAATTCAGCCAGTTTGGCATTTAGCTTGTGGGCTAAGACAATGGTTAAAGGCATGCACTCCTCAGTTTCATCAGTGGCATAACCAAACATTAAGCCCTGAAAAAGGATAAGTCACCGATGTGATCATTCCAATTTTCAGAATTTATTATAAGAGATGCAAACAGCCTCTATCATAGTACCTGGTCTCCAGCACCAATGTCTTCTTCATTCCGGTCAAGATGAACACCTTGAGCAATATCTGGTGATTGTTGCTCTAAGGCCACCAGCACATTGCAAGTCTTGTAGTCAAACCCTATAAACAAAAATGTTTTTGTAGGAAAAGAAAGTCACAATACTTTCTCTATTTACAATACCATTCAGAATTCTTACTATAAAGAAATCAGATATAGCAGTTCCCCCACCATGGTTTTACTTTCTGCGTTTTGGAAATATTTCCCAAAATATTTAATCTTGGGGCCAGGGATTTAGCTCAGTGGCTCCGGCACCTGCCTCACAAGCACAAGGTCCAGAGTTCAATCCCTGGTACCAAAAAAAAAAAAAGGGTTTACAAAATATTTAATCTCAAAATATCAAATGGAAAACTCCAGAAAATAAATTTTTAAGTCTTAAAATTGCTATTCTGAGGGTGATGAAATTCTGCCCTGCCCAGAAAAAGAATCACCCTTCTGTCCAGTATGTCTAAGCTAAGCTGTATATTCTACCTACCCTTTAAGTCACTGCAGCTGTCTACTACTGTGTTATGGCACACAATGTGTTCAAATAACCCTTACTTCAGTTGTCCCAAAGCACAAAGTGCTGCTAGCAATGTGGATGTGCCAGACAGTAGCTTATAAAGTGCTTCTTTTAAGCAAAAAGTACTTGAAAAGTGGTGGTAGTGGGAGACTGGTGATACTTATAGTACCTCAGGATAAAGGGACACCTACCCTACACCAAATGTCACTTAAAAAAAAGACTGGAGTAGGGCTGGAACAAAAGAGCAAAGCATTACAAAGCTACACAACTGGCATTGAGGAGTACTAGGAACATTCTAGATATTTCAACTTTCACTAGCTATGCTGTAAGTGGAAAAGCTTAGAAAAATGAATCATTAAAACGCACCTTTGGAAGAATCATCATATCCAATGTGCTTAATGGCTTCACGAACCACTTTCTGGTAGTCAATGGCAGCTCTGGATGTAATTTCCCCAGCAAGAAGAATCATTCCAGTTTTAGCAACAGTTTCTAATAAAAAAGAGGTTCATACCAAATGCCATTTTTACAAATGTTTTCAGCATTATCTTTTACCAGCTGATAAGCAAACACACCCATTCTGTACCTACCACAAGCCACTTTGGCATCTGGGTCCTGCAGAAGGTGGGCGTCAAGGACCGCATCACTGATCTGGTCACAGATCTTATCTGGAAGAGAAAATTCTTGACTCAATTTTTTTAAATTACTATTTTTTTCTGGTACTGGGGTTCAAACTTAGGACCTTGGCTTGCCTCTGAGCTACATCCCAAGCCCTTAAAATTACTAGCAGTGCCCTTTCCTATCAATTGAAAAAGGTGGAATCTTGCCTTTTTTAATACTGCAGGTAAACATACAAATATACACTAATGAACAATTCAATGACATGAAGCTGCTGTTTGAAGCACTGCTTTAATCACAAGCTATTTAAATGATAAAAGCTAGATAGAATAGTCAATGTTCCTTGAAACCACCTAGTTTTTGCACAAGCTCATCAACTCAGTCAAGCCAACACAACTCAGCATATTTAATGCATCTGAACCTACTATGGTATATACGTATTTTACATCTTAAAAGGACTTTAGTCCTTCCTTGAAGTATTTCGATTTCCTTAATAACGGCCACTTAAACTGAGATTAAACAGGTGAAAAGTAGAAATAATGACATCTTTGAATTTAAAGGCCTAAGCAAAGAAAAATTTTATAATACTAATTTTCTTTCTTTTTCTTTTTGTGGTACCCAGGATCAAACTCAGGACCTTGAGCTTTCGAAGCAGGTGCAGCACCACTGAGCTAAATCCTCAACCCATTTTTATAGTACTAATTACTGGGTTTTTTTGGTACTGGGGATCTAACTCGGGACCTTGTGCTTACAAGACAGGTGGCGGAACCACTGAACCAAATCCCCAGCCCTATGGAGCTAATTTTTAAAGGTAACAATTCTTAAGTTTTTTTTTTTTTGGTACTGGGAATCAAACTTGGGTCCTTGCGCTTGTGCAGCAGGCAGCAAAACCACTGAGCTAAATCCCGGGCCCACCAATTCTTAAATCTAACCAACCAAAAAGGTGGACTCTGTCTTACCTATTTCTTCAACACCTGAAGGCCACTGCTGTGGTGTACATGTATAATCCCAGCATTTGTGGGAGGCTGGCTGAGGCAGGAGAATCACTAGTTTACACTTGGCCTGAGCAATTTAGCTAGTCTCTGAGTAACTGGGCTGGGGATGTAGCTCAGTGCAAAGGCACTGGGTTCAATTTCCAGTGGGTGGCACACAGGGTGGGGTGGGGTGGGGGCGCGTGCGCACACACTCACACAAAACTCAATTTTCCATACAGACAATACTCAATCCCACAGGTGTTACCAACTGAAGCCCTGTGTGTACCTGGGAGTCTTGAACTGAGATGTACGCAGATCAGCCTCCCTAATCTTAAACATTAGGGCAACAAGAGAATTAAAAAGATTTCAGCAATGAAACAACTTTATGAACAAAAAAGAAATAAAACAGCAACCATTTGATTTTGTGGTTGTCTAGGAACAAGAGCTCAACAAACTAGAAAATGCCCAAATGCATTCCGAATCTCAGAATCTCCCCCACCACAGTGTACATCGGTTATTATTGGGGGAGGGACAAAATGCCTTCTCTCCCAAATTTTCTACAACCATCCAAAAAAGAATTATGTATTCCAAGCTCAAGACTCAAATCTGTTAAATGTCCTATAATCCCACAGAACACCTGACCTTCAGCGTTCATCTAGGCTGCTCGTGGGGTTTCATCACAGGCAGAGCAGATTCTCAAGTAATTAGGCTAGAGTCACGTTACTGTGGCCACCCTAATCGCCTAGAAGCAGTCTAAAGAGCACAATAATGGCGTTTACAGAGTAGAGACTGAAATTTCCTGGCAACAGGTCCACTCGTTCCCGTGTAAATTGATCCCCATAATGGCGATTCAGTGGACAAAGCCCGAAGAAGGAAATGTAAACCAAACCTCGACAGACAGTTAAGACTTTAAAAGGAAACCCAAACCAATGCAAGCCAGCACTTCATACTTCTCATCTTTGGCACACATGGTCCAAATAGGAATGGCCTCTGACAAGAAGTATTTAGTCGGAGGCAGTCACCTTGAAGCCAAGGTTACAGTCGCCTAAGGGCATGTCCATATTCTTCAGGGTACCCGAAGCTGCGGTGGCGATGGTGATAGGACTTCCCCGGGCGCCTGCCCCCAACCCCCAAACCGAGGCCTCAAACCACATGCGGCAAGCACGTGGTTGCCGCTGCAATGCGGGGCGCGCGCCCGAGGCGGACGCGAGCAAGCGGGGCGGGTCACCCACTTGAGGTTTTGCAGGCGCAAGGACCAGGGGAGGGAACAGTGCCCTTCCCGGGCAGAACACAAACTGTCGCGGCCCCCACCCTTCTCACTTTCTGGAATCTTCCGCCTGATGGGGCGCGAGGCACGATGGGAAGACGAAGGGCGGGCGCGGCCACGGGCGCGGAGGCGACACCACGAGGAAGGCGGGCGGCCGTCGTTCTTCCCACCGTCCGCAGGGCAAGGACGGGCCTCGCGGACTTCCACACCCCCTCCCCCACCGCGTACCCGGCCGGCGCTGCCCTCCTCCTGCCCCTCGCCGTGTCCCGGACCCCGCCACCTCACCTGGGTGGCCTTCCCCCACAGACTCCGAGGTGAAGAGGAACGTGCCCTCCTCGATGAACGCGTCGTGGAAACCGTTGAGCTGGCCGTTCATGTTGGCGATGATGGACTGAGAAGGTGGCGTTAAGAAGACAGGAGGGCAGTGGCAAGGCAGCGATTGCGAAATATACAAGCTGATAACGACGCCCCAATTCCACCGAGGAGACGGCGCGCAGAAAACGAGATGACCGGCAGCGAGGCCCAGTATTTATAGTGCAGCGCCGCGCTCGCCCGGTTCGGCCCCGCCCCCCGGCGCCGCGCGCCAATGCGCCACCGGAGTGGGGGTGGTGGAGAGAAAAAGGGAGGTGCGGCGGCCAGCCCGGGCTGAACCACTCAGCGAGACGGGGTGAGGCTAACAACCCTCCTGCGATTATTTAGCCATCCTAGACACTTAAAGACAAGGAGTCAGTGGAAATGCGAGTCTACAGAGCCGTTGTCCCTTCCGTGTTCCATGTGAGAGGAAAGGCGCCGAGAGCGTTAGAGACCGGCTCCCCTGTGCTGTTACGTGGCACCTTCCCGCCGACCGTTGGCCGAGATATCAGTTCGCGAGGTCGCGTCCCCCGTCGGTGGTTAGAGGAATCACGGAGGTTTTGTGCTCTGCTTCTTGTCTAGGGTCCTTCCGGCCGCCTCGCCTTTGGACGCCTTGTCACTGGGAGCCAGTGACTCTCGGCCATGTGGAGGTGGCCATGTTGGCTGGCCCGCGGGCGCGTCTTCGCACGGCCGTTTTCTTCCCACCCTACTCTCCGCCGGCGGGTGGAACTGCTGAGGGGCGCCGGCCCAGTTGTTAGTAATTTCTTGGTTAATGGCTTCCTTGAAAACGGCTGGAAAGAGAATTAATGAGAGTGCTGCCATCGATTTAAACAGCGCCATCCTCTCCTCAGCGTGTCACCTTTCCCTGACCCTGATGTGGAGGCCACACGCTGTCTTCTGTCAGAAAGGAGGCCACTGCTGAGGCTGCCCTGGCCTGTCTGGCTTTCCTGTGTCTCTGAGAAGACAAAAAAGAAAATCGGGGTTAAGTGATTTCAATCTTTTGTTGAAGATAGTATTGAACGAGTATTTCTTTTTCTTGGGAGGAAAATCCCCATGCACGCCCTTGAATGTGCTTTGGAAGGTCTCTTCGCAGGGGAAACGGTCTGTTCTTGCACGAAGCTTTCACTTTAAAATGTCCACCTGCGCTTGTCCTAGTTTTGCCCATTAATGGAATTACAGAGAGACAGGGAAAAGGAGCGAAACGAAACATGAGCCGACAAGGAGTAGGGGAATCGGGAAGCGATTTCGTGGCGTCCCTGAGAGGAGGGAAGCATGGGAAGGGTGGGTGTCATGGTGGCCCTCAGCGCCAGGGGAGTGACAAGAACACCAGGACTCGTGATGTTCCTAGGAGATCGCCTGCTCCGAGCGTAGGTCGCACTTTATCCTGGGGAGGTGGACACATCCCTTGTAACGAACGGCCTTCAGCTGCCTATCGCTAGAATTAGGTAAATTATGAAGAAAATGCCTCTAGGTAAAAGGTGTATTCGGGGGAGAAAAGATGGGAATTTGCAGAAGAAAACAAAGGAAGCACTTGAACTGTGCTAAGGGCTTCAACAAAGAAGGACAAAGAGAGTCTCATCTCTAGACTTTTCGACCAGGCAGCCAGAGAAGGTTATATGCAAAAAGAGGCAATAGTTTATTCTTACTGGTTGTTTTTTTACTTTTCAAACTAATCCTTCATGGAAAATAACTATAATACTGTTTCATCATTTTTTGCTTTAGAGTTATTTCACTTTTTAAAAAGAATACCATTTTATTAACCCACAATAATAGAATTGTCAATTGAAGCTGCATGTGTAGGCTGGTCAGTGCATTATCTGCTAGCAGAAAAATCTATACAGGAAGCCAGGATATAATTCAAAGATTATTTTGTTAATAGGCAGAAATATAATTAGGTTAGTTTACTAATAGGGAAACCAAAGAAGGAGATTACATGGTTGGCTCATTAAATCCTGATGCCTTTTTGCTACCAACTCCACAGTGGGCTCTTCCTGCCAAGTCTGAGGTAAAAAGAGGTTGTTTGCTCAACAGTTAAATGTCAGGGACAGGACTGCAAAACCCTACTCTTAATCACTGTATTTTACCCTTACCTAGAGCAAGAAAGAGAAGTAGGTACAGCTGATCTAATCTCCTTGCTAGGAAAAGCCCACTGTAGAGTTGGTAGCAAAGAGGCATCAGACAAAATTCCGCTCTTTTACATTAGGTTTCTTTTAGTAGCAGTTCAATTTATTAAATTGTTGCATCAAAACAAAGCAGAAGCCCGGCATGTTGGCAACCCTGTAATCCCAGGAGGATGAAAATTGGAGGCAAGCCTGCACTACATACTGTATGTAGCAAGACCCTGTCTCAAAAAAACAAAGAGCCAGATGAGGTTGTACACATCTGAAATCCCAGCACTTGGGGTGCTGAAGCAGGAGGATCACTGAGAGTTTGAGAGGCCAGTTTGCACTACAAAGCAAGATCCTATTTAAAAGAAAAAACAAAAACAGCTTGAACTCCATAGTGAGACCCTGTCTCAAAAAACCAAACCGAAACAAAAAAACCAAAACAACAACAAAGCCCAACTCATTTTCATTGATTTTATATTATTAACATTATCCATTGCCTTCTTCCATAAGTATTTACATCTGTGAGGCATACCCAGGTACTAATGCGATGAAAGTCCTGATTGCTGCCTATTTCAGGCTCTAAATGCAGATGCCTGGCTAACTTCTTACCCTTTCCTTCCCAGGTCAGCTGCTACTTCCTGGGTGAAGCTTTCACTTACAGAGATTTCTCACAAGGTTCTGTGTTTTCTTTCATGGCACTAAGAGCAGCTTGCAATTACAGATTTGACGGGGTTTTTTTTGGATAAATGACTCCAATTCCTAGTTAGGTTTGTAAACTCCATGATAAAGTGGTTTGAGTTTGTGAAGTTTTACCTTGAATGCCTGGCGCATACAAGGTGCTTAAGAGTGTTTGGGTGGTAGTAGGAGAAGGGAGAGGAAGAAAGAAGACAAAAGGATTATGAATATAAGGGATGGTAGAAGAAAGTAGGGAAACCCTTGAGCTCATGTGAAATAACATCCTGCTTTGTTGCAGTCACAAACATTATAATTAATAAAATTGAGAACTCTACCAACAGAGAAACATGGCCATCCTGTTCCAAGAAGAATGAGATATCTGGACTGAGGATTTAGCTCAGTGGTTTCGCTGCCTGCCTTGCAAGCGCAAGGACCCAAGTTCGATCCCCGGTACAAAAAAAAAAAACAATGAGATTTCTCATTTCATAGGTTAGTGCTTTGAGGGTAAAATAAATCAGGAGGAGTAATTGGTTTAGTTCATATTTAGCATTAATGAGATTTGTTGAATGTGAAATACTGGAAAGGAAAAAATCTAATCACGGCCTAAAGACTCCAGATTTGTCAACCCACAAAGCATCAATGTAGCAATACCCCAGTGAAAGCAGCAAAGTTGGGATAAATAAGCTGGTAACTGTGACTCAACAAGGATAACAACTCTAGGTCTTATCAGTCTACCAATCTGGTAAGGGAGAAAGTTCCAGTAAATCAAACCTCTAAGAGCTTCTGGCAAGAAGACCACAAGGCAAGAGGATCACAAGTTTGAGCCCAGCCTGGGCAACTTAGCACCTTAGCCCAGACCCTGTCTCAAAATAAAAAATAAAAAAGGCCTGGGAATGTGCTCAATGAGCAGGCCTTGGGTTAAGTCTCCAGTACTGAAAAAAAAAAAAAAAAGAAAGAAAAAATGCTTTTGCAGTGCAAAAACTGACTTGGAAGAAAAGAGTAAGGTGCTACTCAAGCTCCTAGATTATGAGTCTTTTTTTTTTTTTTTTTGGTACCGGGGATCGAACTTGGGACCTTGCACTTGCAAGGCAGGCACCGGAACCACTGAGCTAAATCCCTGGCCCTTAGATTATGAGTCTTAATACCTTGTGTGTATGTCTGCCTTGAAAGCATAAGGTCCTGAGTTCAATCCCTGGTACCAAAAAAACCCCAAAAAAACAAAAAACAAAAAACTTGTGTGTAAAGGATGGGCCAGGGGGAAACTAACATAGGACAGATGTCTCTACACTGTGCAAATGTTTATGGTCAAAGTTTGGACTCTCAGATGATCACAGAAGCAAGCTAGCCCTAGTAGGATCAAAAAGGAGTACTATGTCACTGGGCTTGGCATTGCATGCCTGCAATCCCAGCACTTGGGAGGCCTAGGCAGGAGGATTGTCCTGAATTCAAAGCCAGTCTGGGTTACGTGTGAGTTCAAGGCCAGCCTGCATTACAAAGCAAGACCCAGTCTTAAAAGACAAAAAAAACGAGCCCTATGTGAATCCTCTCATTTTTAGCCTTTTTGTATTTTGTTTTCTATTTCTCTGTTTTTCTTTCTTTTTTTTTTTTTTTGTGCCAGGGATCGAACTTGGGACCTTGTGCTTGCGAGGCAGGCGCCAGAACCACTGAGCTAAATCCCCGGGCCTGTTTTTCTTTCTTGATAGTCAAATCTTTTTACAGTCTTAATAAAGAAGTACAGGATAGAAAAATGCATAGGGTACTGAAGCAGGATAGAAAAAATAAAAACTATGTAAAAAAGACATCAAGATTTTAAAATTTTATTTATTTTTATTTTTTATTTTTGGTACCAGGGATCGAACTCTGCAGGCGGTGGTACCACTGAGCTAAATTCCCAGCCCTTAAAATTTTATTTTTAGGAAAAACTGAAGCTTCAAGACACAAAAGTTACTCAAACTGTTTTTTCCCTTCCAGGAAACTCACTTTAAAAAAAACCCGAAACTCCTGATGGTCCTTTTACAATAAGCCTATAAATCCAGGCTTTTAACCTGTCCTTTTCAAATTTGTCAGTTGCACTTCCTTGCTGGACATGGTGGTACATGCATCTAATCCCAGCAGTGAGGAGGCTGAGGCCTGGAGGATTCCTGCAAGTTCGAGGCCTGCCTGGGCTACCTAGTGAGTTCAAGGCCTGGAACTATATAGTGAGACCCTGTCTCAAAAAAAAAAAAAGAAAAAAAGACACTGAAGGAGATGATAATATGATGGCAATAACTAGTAGCTACAATTTATTGTGCCAGGCACGGTGGTAATATCTATTCCTTTGTTTGTTTGTTTGTTTAACTGATTTTAATAACATGACATAAAGCCCCTAGAATTGATATAATCATTACGCAAAATACATAGATGAATACTGTCTTCTTTTTTTTTCTTTTTTTGGTACCAGGGATCAAACTTGGGTCCTTGCGCTTGCATAGCAGGCGGTGAAACCACTGAGCTAAATCTCCGGCCCAATACTGTCTTCTTTTAAAAATATAAAGTAAATAAGCAAGATGTGAAAATACGCAAGTTTCCACTAAATAAATGAAAGCTTTAGAAAAGGAAAGTTTTCCTTTCTATGTCATTTGAAGAAGGGAAATTATCATTTTAAACAATATTCAAGTTTATTAAACAAATTTAAAAAGGTATTATAAAATGTTTAACTTTCATCAGCTTCAAGGTTTATGTTGCTGCCTAATTTAGCATATAACTGAACTTTCAAATCTGCTAACACCCGCTGAATTGATTCTACTCTGGATTCTAAGGCATCAATTTCTTCTTGCAAATTTTTCTTTGCTTCTTCTAACGTGCCTTGTGTTTCTTCTTGAGAATGGCTAATGAAAACATCACCAATCTGGTAAGGTATCATTAAACTGGGGCTGGGGATTTAGCTCAGTGGTTCTAGTGCCTGCCTCGCAAGCTCAAGGACCCGAGTTCAATCCCCAGTACAAAAAAAAAAAAAAAAAAATTAACATCATTAAACTGTCATCATCTGCAAGCATGGTGTCATCACAAGCATCTTCTAAATTCTAGAGTTGTTTCTTTCTTGTTTCTATTCCTTTAGCTCTGTGATTCTACTTGTATTCCACACAAACTTATTTATCTTTTGTTGATCTTCGAAAGGAACATTGATATTTTCTGCAGCAGTTTCATGTATCACCTAAAAATACATATTAAAAAGATGCCCAGCTGAGCTTCTTATCAGCTAAGTCACTACAGCACTAATAATCCCTGTGTCCAAGTTTCTCCATCACCCTCTTCATGGTGGCCACCATCTTGGGATTTGGTAATATCTATTCCTTACACCAACTTTAATGAGGCAGTTACTATTTATTTCTCTTCCTGTTTTACAGGTGAAGAAAGTAGCATGTAATTTATTCAACTTATATATCAAATCAGTATTGGAGCTGGCACTTGAGCCTGAGTCTAAGAGGTAAATTCATGCCCCTTGTCACAGACAAACAATAAATACTTCATACTTCCTAGAATAATATGTTTGGTTTTCATCCTTTTATATTTTTTTCTATGAACAGTCACATTTTACCATTCAGAGAATTTTTATTACCATTTTTCCAGGACACTACAAACAGATACTCATTGTTTTTGTTTTTTCTCTTCCTTTTTTTAATTGTGGGAAAATATACGTAACATAAAATTCACCACTGTAAGTTTTTTCTCTCCTTTTTTTTTTTTTTTTACTGGGATTAAACCGAGGGCCTTTGCACCAAACCACTGAAGATCCCCAGTGCTTTTGTTTGTTTATTTGTTTGTTTTTTGAGAGAGAATCTGGCTATGTAGTTCAGGCAGGCCTTGAACTCACTCTGTAGTCCAGTCTGGCCTTTAGCTCAAGGCAATCCTCCTACCTCAGAACTGGGATTATAGATGTGCGCCATCACGCCTGGCCCCAGTACTTTTTAAAGAATTTTTTTTATTTTGAGACAGGTTCTCTTTAAGTTGCCCGGACTTGAACTTGCTATCTGCTTCCCAGAATGCTGGAATTATAGACTTGTGCCACCACACCCATCTTATTGTAACTATTTTTAAGTCTGCAGTTCTGTAGCATTAAGAACATTCACACTGTTCTGCCAAATTATTCTTTTTATTAACAATAAAATTCACTGTAGCATGACTGTGCCATCAGTTCATCCAACTGTTGCTTTATTGGTTGACATCAGTTCTGTCTCATTTTTGCCCCGCACACACATTGTTGGACCTAACTTCTGTTTGTTTGGGTTTTTTTGGTACCAGATATCGAACTCAGGGCCTTGCACTTGCCAGGCAGGCATGGCGCCACTGAGGTACAACCCTGGCCCCTGGCCCTAACTTCTTTGCAGATGTACTTTTGTGAACCAATGTTTTTACCTTTATGAAAAAGATTTCCCAATGGGGGAGTGATGAGAAAACGATGTTTATATTTTTACATGTTTGTATTTACAGTCAGATTACTTTCCAAATGGCTATCAAAACTCATATTCTCAACAGGGTATGAGAATATAATTTTCTAACTTTCACCAATGCTGGGTGCTCTTACTCATTTTCATTTCTATCCATATGACAAATGAAAATAATACTTTTATGACCTTGCCAGACCTTTGCAGATAAGATAGAATGAGTATCCAGAACCACAATAAAAAAAAGATTGATAGATTTAACAACATAAAAAAGAAAAATGTGCTGGATGTCAGCAAGAGAAACCACCAACAGTGTAGAGACAACCCACACTGTGGGAAAAAATCTTTGTCAGCTGTTCCTCAGACAAAGGACTACTCTCTAGAATATATAAAGATTTCAAAAAAACCAGATCCCACAAATTTAAAGACACAATCCAAAAATGGGCATCTGAAATGAATAGACACTTCTCAGATGAAGTAGAAACAGCAAATAAATATATGAAAAAATGTTCAACTTCACTGGTCATTCAAGAAATGCAAATTAAACAACTCCGAGATTCCACCTCACTCCAGAAAGAAGGGCTGCTGTCAATAAATCAACCAATAACAAATGCTGGAAGGCTGTGGAGAGAAAGGAACCCTTCTTCACTGCTAGTGGGAGTGAAGATGGTGCAAACAGTGTGGAGATTCCTTAAAAACCTAAAACTAAAGTTTCCATTTGACCCAGCTATTCCCTTACTTGGTATCTTCCAGAAAGAATTAAAAGCATCCTACCACAGAGATATATGCACATCCATGTTTATGGTAGCACAGTTTGTAATAGTTAAATCTTGGAAACAGCCCAAATGCCCATCAATCGATGAATGGATGAAGATGTGGTTTTTTTTTTACACAATGGAATACTACTGTGCCATGAAGGAAGATGAGCTTGAGACATTTCTAGCTAAGGGATGCACCTTGAGACCGTATTCTTTCTTTCTTTCTTTCTTTCTTTCTTTCTTTTCTTTTCTTTCTTTCTTTCTTTCTTTCTTTATTTATTTTTGGTACCAGGGATGGAACTCAGGACTTTGCACTTTCTTTTTTCTTTGGTACAGGGATT